AATAAAGATAAAACTCGAGTTTACGAATGAGTATATACGCTATGTGAGCACATACAAACTATCATTATAGCAATATAACGTTATTATTATATAATATAAAATAAATCATTCCAGAGGTTGGAATCGACTAAATAGTCGACTAAACTTTTTTTGAACAACTAATAGTCGACTACTAATACTACTAATACTAATACTAATACTATGCTAATATTATTATCTGACCAATTACGATTTTTGTGTTTTATCATTCAAAATGGAAAATTTCTATGTGAAAGAGTATCAATACCATGATGATGACAATAGTGGTGGTGTTGTTGATGATAATTTTACATGCGAACGAATAAACACTTCCGACACAAGGTCCAGTAGTTCATTGGCTTCAAGTTCCAATGATTTAAGCGGTGGTTCCAGAAGACCTTTAAAAGACGAATCGTAATACATGGTTTTGTGTGGAAGCATTTTGAAAAAGTGAAAGATTCAAATGGAAATGAATTCGTAATTTGCAAATTAAAAAAAATATATTTAGTCGATTAAAATAATCAACTAATAGTCAACTAAAGAAATATTGATCAATTAGTAATCAACTAAGGATTTTTTGGACAATTCCAAGCTCTAAATTATTCGGGGAAATTTTTTTTATGAAATGTACCAAAACTTGGCCGATTTCCCTTAAACTCTTTTAACTCAGGAAGTTTAATTCTTTGTATTCAGAAAGGACGCTTCTGTCCACCTTTAAATAGTCAAATTGAAGTACAGTATACTTATTCGCTTCAGTTAGTGTACGTTGAAAGTATGACAAGTCGCAAAGAACAAATCTCAGAATTTGAAGATACAAAATCTGATGATTCATAATTATCAAGTCAAGTATTTTTGTAATAATTCAAATTTAATTTTTTTGCTTGTAAGTAATGATGTCGATTAATCTCAAACACATATTTTTATATAACTTTTTTTTTCAAAATCTTTTTTTTTTTTATTCAAAGACTTATTCGGTAAATAAATTCTTTCAATAACAATATCGAATCATTCAAATCACGTTTATTTAAAAAAAAAATTAAGAATAAAACAAACTGTTCCAAGTAATTTCTTCGTCACCATCGCGATATATATTCCGAACCTCAACACCCATCGATTTTTAACTGAAAGATATTTTTAATCTACATTAGTGCTTTGTCCTCCTGGCACATCGCATTGATTAACGTCTCTCATCTCGATACATTCAAGGAAGTATCAAGGTACATTTGCTTAATTGACGAACTGAACGACGACGAGTTTGATGATGGCAATGTTACGTTCTATGGTGCTGAGAATGACATCGACAATGTTGATTTTTTTGCTGATGATTAATTATTCAAACCTTAACAAATGATTATTCTTTCTCTTGGCCTTGATTCTTGAGGCTTTGCTTTGTGCTGAACTGGGTAAGACCACTGAATCTCACTATATGTGATTTCTTTCCCACGAAGAGCTCACCCGCTACCAAGAAAATTGCAGACGAATTTGTTGTTCAGTTAGTCAGTTGAAAAACAAAATGTATGAATATTTGAAGATTCGGATTCCGTTACCGTAACCGCACTTGATATTAATCAAGTCTCAGTCTTAATATTAATATTAATATTAAACGAATACCGTGAAACAAACATATTGTGTGATAAATAGAATTTCTCGATTTTTTATAATAAATTTCGGAAAAAACGCTTGGAAATCTTTTTGGCGTACATAACAATTAAAATATAAAAAACATCATTACGAATTTTTTTTAGATGAGATAATCTAATACCCGGAAAATCTACGACCTTATCTCTCATTCAAAAATGTTCTCATGATCAAAATCAGGGGTTACAAGCGCAAAGATAAAAGTCTCAATGGTTCAAAAAAAAACATTTGGCTTTTTTTTTCTCTCTGCCCAAAAATAGTTAAAAATCCTTTTTAATTTAGAACAAAAGGGTTTATGTTTTTGATTTTTTCAAAAGTTATTTTTGAAAAAAGACTGCAACAATGACAATGAAACAACAATGTATAATGACAAAAAGCAATGATAATAATGATAATTATTATAACAAATGAAGAAAGAACAACCAGCAACCAGAATTAATTGTGAGCGAACAAAGAAAAAAAGTTCGTTGCAAATGAGAATACATCAATAATACAACCACCATTTCAAATTTATTTTTTCACATTATTATCAATTTATAAACATAACATGCTCTTCTTTCTTATTATGCCTTTTTATAAAAAACCTATGTCATTATGTCATTATTTAAATAATATTTAAGACTATATACGTTGCAGAATTATTATTATGATTTTATATATAAGATAATTTTTGGATAAAGTTAAAAAAAAAGTCCTTTGACATTATTATAAGAATCATGTAAGTTTTTATTATATATATATTTCGTTTGTTTGCTTGAATTAATAATTAACAAATTAATTTGAATATTTTATTTTTTTATTTTTTTTTAGTATTTTTTTTTTTGCTTTATAAATATAATATAAAAATAATGTAACAAAAAACAAAAAACAAAAAAAAACAACTTAGCATTTAGGCTATTTAATCAATATAAAATGTAAGGTTTTTTTTCAGATTCTTTTTTTCTCAAATAGGTTTTTTGAAATTCCTAATTTGAAAATTTTCTTTATTTAAAAAACCAATAGGTTGAAAGCGAGTTGTTTGTCCTTTCTTTTATCGACCTAAAGAACAAGTTTTAAATCTATTGCCAGAATTAAATATATATATATATATATTTATATGTATGTATGTATTATTAAAATTATACTTACCAAAAAAAAGAATTTAGTTTACTTTCCATGAATTAGATAGTGGAAAGTGCAGTCAGTGTATATATGTGGTTATATCAGAAAAAACCCTGTCGTTCACAAAAACCTAATGAGATTACTTTCATGATCCAGTTATTAAGTTAATGTGTTTAATGTCACCTTCAATATTGTCTGGATTCTGAAAGGAGTACCTATAGGTTTTACACGTGAGGCGGACTTTTAATTTTTCCATATTCCATTAAGGATATATAAAGAAAAATTATTTATTCAATCCGTCAAGTCAGCGACATTGGTGATATTAATTTCATTCGGAGACACTGGAAGTGATTATATTTAACGATATTAATTTCATTCGGAGTCACTAAATGTGATTATATCAGAATAACCTTAAATCGAGATTTTAGTTATAATGAAGAAACAATATTTTGTAAATATTTTAATTTTTTTTGTTTTTTTTGTAAATTTTTTTTATTAGGATAATATATATATATGTATATATATATATATATATATATATGTATGTATGTATGTAAAATTGTTATTATACATAGGCAATAGTTTTACTATTATTATTTTTTATAAGCAAAAAAAAAAGATCTTTTTTATTATGTTTTTTTAAATTTTATAAATAAAAATTTTTATATGCGGGATGGTGAATTCCTAACAAAATACTGAACGAGTATAGAATGAGCGTGTAGTGAATTAAAAACAGATTGATTGAAGAATATAAGTTTATTATCAGAATATATTTTTTTGAAAGAAGATAATTTATATATAGAATATTAAAGTATGACTAATCTATTACAATTTGCAAGGTTGTAGAACAACCTGTTAAGTACATACAATGTGCTATTGAATGATTAATGTTCTTTGAAAATTTGTGCAAAGCACAACATGTATAAAGTTGTAATCAATTATGATTTGTCAACCAAATTGTTAAGCGAACCCTTCTACCAAGATTGGCAATTAAAATTGCTTTCAACAATCTGAAGTAATTTTGCAAAGTTTTATTGGTAGATACCTGCGAACATTCACGTTATCAAGGTAATTGATATACTAAACATATGGTTGTCTGATTTTCTCTTTCTTTTTTTAAATAATTAACGAATTAATCTATGATGGGAGTGATTGTGTAAAATGACCAACAGTCCTGGAACAACATTATAAACATTTTGATGCTTATATCACATCATTACAATCATTGCCTTCACAAGCAACATTCATCTCCATCTACATTGCGTCAGAAGGTTTGAGTTTAGCATCATCTTATCATTCTTATTCATGTCAAAAAAATATTTACACCATTAACTGATAAGTCATCGTCATCTTTACAATTGTTACAATTACTAGAAGTAAAAGGCTTCTAATTGGTGGTACCTGAAGAGATAAATTAAACCCCCGTTCAACTGAAGAATAAGAAAAAGGGAGATGATGTGGTGGTGGTGATGGTGGTGGTGGTGAAGAATAAGTTACATTAGTTAATTGAATTTTGTATGCTGTTGGCTTTAACATTGATCGAGTGAACCTTATTAAATATATGAATGTGGATTTGATAATGGCAAATGCAATGGATGAATGATGTTGGAAATCAAAACATTAATGTAAATAACAATAAAGTTTATTAACGATATTGATGGCAGTATTTGATGGGTGGTGATGATAGCTTTATATTTCAAGATTGTTAATGTTATTGATCTTGATCTTGATCGAATTGTCATACCTGAAGAAGGAAGAAGGTAATGTTACGAGTTTTAGATGTGTGATTAGCTTTTAATATTTAGTGTTTAATAATAATATTTTTTACATACCATTATCCTCTGCACAAACAATCATTCTCTCAGAAAAAAGACAGAAGAAACAACGACTAAAATGTTAAATCAGGGTTATACATTAATATCAATTTCCACCAATTTATCTATTTGAGGGATTATTATTATACTGTCGCAACTTTAACTAACTTGTGCTTTTTTTCCGGTTATAATTAATTCACAAAAAGCGAAAATATGCCATTATGTTGCAATAAATCATCAAATCATGTCTAAATTTTCTCTAATGATTAACTTATTTACATTGATCCCGATCTTTTTTCTAGTATCACATAAATAAAACATGATATCATCAGCAATTTTTTCAGACCCTCTCACCTTACACAATGATTACATACATCAGGAAGCTTTTGAGCTTAAGGATCCCCCCAAATTTTTATTAATATGGATCCTTCACCACCCACGAATATCTGCTGTGAATCCTGACAAAAATATCTCTGAAGATTCTTGATTTACTATTAGGGATTCTTTAAGGATCCTTCCTGCAATGATACAAATTTATCAAATTTATATTACTGTAATAATAGCAATAAAGTTTATTAAATAGATAATTATGAACTTTCAATTCCGTGTTCAAATTCTGATTCATTATCATCTGGATCTGTAACGTAACCCTTTACCAAGTTCTTTTTGTCTGATAGATTTTGTAATATTTGCAGTTATTATTTATACAATCCTATAAGGTATAAAAAATAATATATATATACAGTATATATTAAAAATAAATATGTTAATTACTTGTAAGCATCATGCAAAAATAATTAATTAGCATTCTCATTCAGCGTTTTCACCGATCCCACAAATATTAATATTAATATCGATAAAAATTTGCACAAACAGTTTGCAAGATTTGTGAAAACGCTCAATGAATAATAGTTAAGTGAGAGAATATTAAAATAATATTAAAAAATAATTACCCAATATTTTTCATATCTGCTTTGAAGAGCATTATCACTAACAGATATTTTTGGATGTTTTGGGTTTAATAAAATTTCCCAAGCAGCTAAAGTAAAAGCCATGCCTGTAGTCTTTTTCTTTCCCCATGATTTTTTTTTATAATTCCATCAACATAAGGAAGTCTTGTGATCTTCAATTTGTAATAATAATAAGCATTTTGATTTTTGACCATTTGAAGGATAGTGGATGATCCTTTCAGATAAATTTTTTTTGATCTTGACCGTTTGAGGATGGTGGAAAACAAGTAAAAATCCATCAAAAATTTTGTAAAACTTTTTCAAAAAAAAATTTTTCAATTGATCCATTTGATCCATCCGATTAACCTTTTAATTTGGGATGAATAAATAAATAATGAAATAAATAAACAAGCAGATTTGCCTCTTGAATATTTTTACTCGCTTGCTTTTTGTCTAGTATTAAAATAATTTCTTTGATTTATTCAAAAGGTAAATAGTTTCGCCTCTTGAACATTCTTTGCTTGCTTGCCTTTTATCTAGTATGCCAAAAAAAACCAACAATGTCATCAATCATGTTCATCAAGTCAGTCAGTGGAACATGCACAGTAACTGGGGTGACCGTGTGCCACGTAGAAGATTAAGAATAACGTGGAAGTAAATGACAAAGCGTTCAGACTAACGATGCCAACAACGCCATGATTTTTCTAAGTTAAATTTAACCAATTGATTATCAGGACCTGGAATATTATTATTGTAATTATACTTTAAACGTTCGTTTAAAAAAATCTTGATAAAAGAATGGATGGGGCTTGTACTAGGAAAATCAAGCCTATATATCAACAAAAAATCTATTTTTAGTAAACCACCTTATAAATTTGGTTACCGTGCTTTTTTTAATATAAAGAAAATATTCCAAGCATAAATCAGATTATTATTGAGTAAATCAACTCAAAAAAAAAAAAAAACAGCTAGTAGCTTGATTTTTCTAGTACAGACCTCGTTTTCGTTTCACGTAATAATAATATTCACCAAATTAAATTTAATTGATGAATATTCAGTGGGCAAAACGTTGATTCCATTTAAGGGAAAAAACGTTATTCTTAATAATCAACAAAGAAAACTATAATGCTTATAAAAATCGTGAATTCCTATTTTTTTTACGACTAGAAAATAAAATCAAAAAAAATAAAGTTACAATACTTTACAAATAAAATTTCCAATCAATCAAACCATCATAACAATAACAATATTTTAAACATAATAATATCTAATAATACTATTATAACAAATAGTGCTGACAATAATACAATAGATATCAAAATGGCTTTCGATCCAAGAATATATGCTAATTTTTATATAAATAAAGCTTATCCAGGAACAGAGGTAATTCCTCAAAATGTTTTAATGGATTTGATTGAAAGCATGCCTAGAAGAATTCAGGCTTGTATAAAGAGCAAATGATACCCAACTAAATATTAAAAGTAGTTAAAATTTTAAATTAAAATTATTACATAGAGTAATAAAATAAAAAATTTCGCATCAGAAATTTAGTGATCGTCCAAGAAAATTTTTTAATAGAATTTCATTTTTATATATTTATTCGAGTTCTACGGAACCTAGATGCATGAAATTTTCCATAGATATTCACAAGAACTTGAACAATAAATAATGTAAATTTCATATATATTTATTATGCGTATTTTTGCGCTATTAATAAAAGCAAGTGTTCCGAAACTTTTGTCCAGGTACTGTATGTGGTTATTTTTGTTTGGGCCTGAGAGAAACTCCATTACCATCTACATCTGAATTTTTTTGTCCCGAGAATTCAACACAACCTGTTTATTGTTGCGGAGGATATTGTTGTAGCAAAGACACAAAATTATAACGGTTTATCCGAAGGTATTTCAATTAATATTGACATTCTTTTCTGAACTCTTTAATTTCTTCCTTCCTTCCCTCCGATAAATATAGGATATCAATGTGGCATTGGTATAGTGAATCCAACACCATGAGGTATAGCTTCATATTGTCCGCCTGGTTCAATAAGCATAAACGAATATAGCTCGTTAATATTTTTAGTTGCAACGATGATGATAATACTTTTGGTATTTCGTGTTCAAAAGAAAATAGAATCTTTGAAAGCGGCGAAATATCAAAAATTATCAGTCGATCAAAGGTTGACACAAGGAATGGAATTGAATTCTTTATCAAAGACATTCGATATTGAATTTACAAATCTAGGTCTAAATGGCATTGAAATTATCGGTGTAAGAAGTTTTTGGTGGTGATTGTGTCGGTTTTTGAGTGAGAGAATCTAAAATCTTTATTATTTCACACACATATACAGGGTATTACCGGAAGTTTACAACACGGAAGAACTTGTGCAATTATGGGACCATCAGGTAAATAATCAAAGTCATTAATAAATATTTATTTAGGCGTGCGTGTAAATAAATACTCTTATTAGAATTCTGTTAATTGTAAATATTAGGTGTTGGTAAGACAACATTAATAGCACTTTTAGCCGGCAAAGCTAAAAGATCAAATGGCATTATAAAGGGTAAAAAAATAATTACTTCAAGTCAATTAATTTTAGATAGAAACAATTAATTAATTTTTCGCTTTATTTAAAAGTGAATGGTGTAATTGAAGATTTACATAAATATCGAAAGTTGGTTGGATTTTGTCCCACAGGAAGGTTTTTTTCACACAACGATTAATATTTATTTATTTATACCTTTTTTGTAGATAATGATGTATGACGAAACTTTTGATTTTAGTCATTGACGTAAAGTATTGACTAAAGGTAATTTCTCACCAGGGTCATTTTGACGATTTGACTAAAGTAAAAGCCCTTGACGTAAGTAAAACCACTTGACGTAATTAAAAACGCTTGATACAATTAAAAACACTTGATACAAGCAGCAATAACAATAATGATAAAATAAAATTATCAAAAGTTCCAAATTATGTAAATTGTGCCCCGGAGTGAATAAAGAATCATTATATCATTTATTGTGCAATGATGCAAGAATAATTACGTGAGAAGTTTACAAATGTTATAATTTGAGTTAGAAATTTTTCCGTATATTTTCTTTCAAAAGAGAAATCATTCTTTTTATTATTAGATTTCATAAAATGTAAAAAATCAAATTATCTTTACTTACATATGAGTTGTGTTAAATTGATGTTTTTTCGAATTTTTGACTTTGAAGTTAACTACAGAACTACGTGTAATAGTAATACGCAATAATATTAATAATGTGCTTGAGTATCTGAGTTTGAAGCAACATAGGTTGATCAATATTGGCACTTAGAACGACCTTTACATAGCACATAAGAAAGGTTTTCTATTTTTGTCACCTTTAAATCTTTAAAGAATTTCTTTATTGTTGAATCACAATAAATCGATCACTAGAATTTGGTGATGATGAAGTTGTTCATTAAATAATGCAATTTTCACTTTTCAATTTAGAGAAAAATGTTGCACGAAAAATTTGTTTGTTACACGTTATTCAATTCTATTCATTAAAACGATAAGTCAAAGTTTTATATTTTATATAATGTCACATTATAAATTATTATCATCGTTATCATCAGAAAGGAAGGATTTTGTAATTAAAATTAACAATGAAATGCGTAATAATGCTAATGCTAATTCTGATGGAGAAAGTAGAAAAGATTATTTTTTTTCATTGGTCAAAAAAAACAAGGTGCTTTCTGAAAATGAAAAAGAGTATTGTAGAGAAAGGTTTATTTATGACTTTGAATTAAATAATGCAAGAGATAAAAGGGGAAAACCAAAAGAATGTAACATTATTATTTATTTTTCTTTCTTCTTGGTAAATTTCATAGGTAATCTTTTCTTTTCTTAGATAAGCTTCAAGTGTCTGAGTATCATTTATTTTGAAAACATAAGGAGCAATTTTTTCACCTTGTTCTTTCTTCAAAATATTTCTAATGGTGCTATAATTCTTGGGTTCCATGATAGACCTAATGTAAATTAACTTCATATTAACTATTTTTATATAGAGGTAATTCCATATATCACTTAACAAATGACTAAATTTTGATCCCTGAAATTCTTGGTAATACCAATGTTCACTTTGTCTGGTTTTGTTGCAGCATGCCCCATATGAAAGCTTAAAGTATTCTATACCTTGTCTGTTACTATCAAGTCTTTTAAAGTGATATTGGTAGATAATCACAACTTTGAAGTGAAAAAGCACCACTACTTTTAAATAGCCATAGCTTTATATAGAGAGCGTTCTCAGATATAAAAATATATGGTTAGAAAGCTTAAATGGTGTAGTTTCTTTTTATCTTAATAGTGAAGTTCAAGTTTATTATTAGAAAGTTGAGATATTTTTAAAACCAGATTTGTTGCACAGATTTGAAATTTTAATTTCACATATGAAATTACACTCTCTGTGACATGTCCCATGACTGCTAATATTAATGTTGATTATGAAAGCAAAAATGATAACAATCATTTATCATGATAAAGAATCTCGTAAATACAAGTTCTGCTCAATATTTATAAAACAATAAAAAAAAATAAAAAAATCAATACAATATGGTGCAGGTCATCTATACTCATCAAAAATGTAGATCATTCCGAAATTTCAGATAACTATCAATGAATTTTTATTGGTTAATTTTTTTAAAAGCAATTTATTATTATTCTATATTAATTCTATTTAATTCTTCAATTACACCATCTGGTATTCTCCTATGAGATCTATATTTTTTGACAGCATACTCTGCTAATTTACCACTGATTTCTTTTCTATATAAGTCCATATAACGCCAACACTTTCTTGAAAATTTCCTAATTGTAATTAAAGATACTGATTCAAGACTTTCAGGTACTGTTTTTTTTTAAACCCTCCCATGAATAATCACAATTTTCTCTCAGATATCATTTAGCAGCACCCCAATATCTTTCAATAAAGTTTAGCTCACAGTGAAATTTTGGAAAAAAGATGCATTTATGTCCAGCATTCTCAATCAGCTCTTCAATTGCTCCTTTTTGTGCTAAAAAATCTGGTTCCAATGATAATACACAACGTGCACAACAAGATTTTCTTGAATCATCTTTAATATTTTCTTTACATTCTTTGCATTCTAATATTAATCCTTGAGATGAGCATTTTCCTCTTTCTATTAACACTTGTTTTATGCCCTTAGGTTTGTTTCTAAGTTTATCATCAGGATGTGTAGATGGAAAAACCATTGATTGTGGCTGTTTATCTTCTCCAAAGTAAGTATCACGCATAACAGGTTGCTTGCCACCTGGTTTTAGATTCATTCGTTTTGCAACCAAAGCATCATTTCTGAATGCAGCATGGTTAGAACTATTATCAAAAGCAAATACAGCTATGCAATCTGGATATAATGCCTCAAAAATAGGGATTGCTTTATATTCGATTTGCTCAAGAAGATGTTCTGCTGTCCAATAACCATCTTGATTTATGCCAGGCTTTAAATAACATTGTGCTTCTTCAGGTACATATGGATGTTTCTCTATGTCAGCTTGTTGCAAACGAAGGCATCCATTAACTTCTGTTAAAAATTCACTAACCATAATTGATCTGCCATTTCCCTTTTTTCTCAGTGGCATCTCACCATTCTTGGTCTACACTCCACATTTACCATCATTAGAATAGAAAATACTCTCATCATGAACTACAAGAATTCTTTCTTTTTCTCCTTCAGGTAAGTTAGGGATTATTCTATCCATTGTTTCACCTTCATATTTGGACATATACTTCTCATGGTCAAACATTTTTTCTAAAAACACTTTCCTATATTGCAGAACATCTTCCCTTTCATGTCCATCATAATACGTTCCTTGATGATGTAGTTTAAAAGTGTAACCAAGAATGTTTAACCATCTTTTTGCAGTACTTAAAGAAATATCTTT